TAATATAATATATATATAATTTTTATAGCAATTAGTAGTATTTTTTTATTTAAGCATTAAAAAGATTGAAGATATAAAATATTATTTATAATATTATTAAATTATCATGTAAATAAAATAAATTTAATTTTTATTTTTTTCTTCATTTAAATTTGATTGCAATTTATTTTTGATAATTCTAAATTATCTTTTACAATTATAAATTTTTATATCATAAAATATAATATACTAAATTTTGTATAATTATGATTTTTATAATTAATGATTATTTTTAAAAATATAATTGCATAATAAATTTATTATAAAATAACTTTTCGTTAATATTTACTTTTACAATATTAAAGTTTCTTCTTTAGATTAACAGTTTCATTTATTATAAAACTTTTCAATATTTCTAATTTTTTTATATATGATGCATTCATATTATTTCATACAGGATGTTTTATTTAAAATAAAATATCTTTTAATCTTTTAAAGAAAAATGCATAAAAAATATTCGAAAATATTCATATATAGAAATTATTTAATATAAAAACGTATATTATATATATTTTTTTATTATATTTAAATGAATGCAGAAATGAAATTAAGATTAATCTTAATTTTTTTAATAGAATCATATAATATCTTTATTAATACATTAATTGATGCAGTTTATTATTTTAAACAAAAAAAATATTAAACTATTTATGTTGAAAAATCATTAATTTAAAATAATCTATATTATAATTATAACTATATTATATTATAACTATATTATAATTAGAAATTTGTTGTATATAAAATTTATTGTATATGGAAAACATCAAGCAATACTTTACTGCTCTTCTTGTCTTTTATATAATAAGTATTACAAACTTCATATTATAATATTTCCTAGACTAGTAAATTTTCGAATCAAAACTTAAATAGCTTAATATATTTTTATAGAAAATAATGATCAACTAGTTTATGAAATTTGAATCGAGTGCATTAAAAATTATATGATTCCATTAATTGTATTTTTATATAATTGTTTTATGATCATCTACAAAAAAAATGTTCATAATATATCTTTATATATATCAAATAATTTTCGTAAGAATATTTTTTTCATAATATTTTTTATTAAAAGATATTTCACTGTTTTTATATAAAATATTTTATATTTATTACTTATTTTATTTTGTATTATTTTATATTGCTATTTATTTTTATTTTAAATAATAAGATATATAGAAATACAAATAGAAAAGATATATTTATAATTATTTTAATAAATAATCGTATGCGTATGCTGTCTAATGGCAAGTTTAAATATATAATATTTATATATTATAAATAAAATATTACATATATAAATATAAATCATATATTGTTTTTGAGGAAATTTTATTTTTAGTATTACAATGAATATATCATATATATCATATGAATATATATCATATGTAAAAAGGAATTTATTAGTAATATATAGATAAATTTTATTTTTTTAAGTTAACTAACTAAAACACATTCGAGAAAAAGACAATAAGTTTTTCATATTTTTTATTTTTTTTATTTTCAAGATTATTTTACGCTTATGTAAGATAAGTTTATTTTTTTCAAGAGGTTTATTTTTCTAATTATAATATTTATAATCATTTCATGTTCTTATTACAAAAATTAAAAATTATCAAATACAAAATTATTGTTGAAAGTTCAAATTCTTAATTTAAATTAAGAATTATAAAAATAGCAGTGTAAAAGTTCCGTTGTTAAAAAAAATGTAGAAATTTTCATATTTGATTTCTATATATAACAATATGTGAATATATTTATATTTGCTATTTAACAATTGTTAATTAACTAATTTTTAGAGGAATTTTAGTTTTCAGATTGGCTAGCTGTATCACTAAGTTTTTTATTCTATTTTTATAATGTGAAATTTTTGCTACGCAATATCTAACTAAATAATGTGTATATATATATATACATAAAAAATTTTATAAATATATGGGAATCCCAGAAAAGTTACCATTATTCATAGAGGACTATATATTTATATGGCTGTGCATTTATTATTCATTCTTGATATAGTGTTTGATTATAAATATAGTACTATTTCAATAATTTAATACTATAAATGTATTAATATAATATTTTTGTTATTAAATAATTAAAAGGTAAATATTCATTCAGTTTGTTTTATTTTTTTTTTTTTTCATAAAAAATATAAAATATAAAAGAAAAATAATATTTGAGAAATTATAAAAATGATTTTCTTATTTTAATATATTTTAATTAAATCTATTACTGTATTATGAATATTTATAGGTAAAAAAATTTTTAAATAATTTTGGAACAAATTTTATACTTAAATAAAAAAATAAAATGTCAATTGCTGATCAAGATGCTGATTGGGTAAATATCAATTATTATATATAAATGAAATTTTAATTTTTTTCTTTGCATCCTAATTAATTATAATTGTAATTAACTGTATTTTATATTTTTATAGAATGAAATGTTAAAAATTGCAAAGNNTTACAACAACAAGAATATTATGAACTTTTACCAGAATGGACAAAATATACTGCAGATGAATATAAATATTTAAGACAAAATATTGGATATGCAATTTTTGGTCCTCCATCAGAAAATAAAGAAAATAAAAATGTATATATTGAAGATAAAGAAATAGGAGAAGATGGAAAAATGAAAGATGTTACTGATGCACTTCATTATTCATCTGATGCTAACAATATTATAAATATGATTTATAAACAAGTACTTACATATGGTGAAGGATGTATAGATGAAAAAACAATATATTATGGAGTAATTTACAATATATCATTTCGT